AAAGAGGCTTAACATGGGGGATAAACACTGCAGAGTACAAGATTTAGAATCCTCCGTCAATTCCCTGTGATTTCTTCAATATTCCAATTTATTTTGCTAAGAGTTTGTGGACCAGGTTTTCTTTTRGAAGAATTAAGGCCTACTTTAAGTTTAGTTCAGAATGAAAATAAAAGCTGCCTGTGTGGAAGTACTGACCTCTCACTTCTAGCTTCCATTTCTGCAGTTCTTTTCTTCTTATAAGAAATAGAATTCTGATTGTAATAAAACTAACTCATATGGAGCAATTAATTATGTGCCAGACACTTTTGCCAGTACTTTACTCTTAATTTCTCCAGTGATGTTATTGGGTAGCATAGTAATAGTATTTCCATTTTACAGATGGGAAATTGAGGCACGCAAAAGAAAATCATTCAAGATGACACTGCTGGTAAGTTTCAGAGAGGTGTTGAAGAATGTCATTCTGGCTCCAAATTTTATATCCCTGCCTACTATGATGGTCAGTTTCTTCCTGTTATGCACAAAGCTTGTTTGATCTCTTTTATTGATATACTGTTCCAACCCCAGCAAAATGAACACTGTGTATGTACAACTGCCTAATTCTAGGAAGACACACACACACACACACACACACACACACACACACACACACATCTAACTATATTTTTAGAAGTTAATCTTTTGGGACAAAAGGCATGTGAAAGGTTTTGATTAATTTACTGCTAAATTGCATATCAAAAATTTGCCTCCATTTGTACACCAATCAATCTTTAGGTTGTTCCCTCATCCTTTACAACACTGAGACTTGTAAACTTTAAAATTTGAACTAATCCATTAGGTGTTACAGAATATCACATTTGTATGACTAGCACTTCTTTAATTATGAGGCATAATGAGGATCTTTCTTTTTTGTATTTATTGACCCCAATATTTCTTTTATGATGAATTGCTTGTCAATGTGCTTTGTCGATTAGGTTGTTCATTTTCTCTCTTGATTTAAAACAGTTCTATTTATAAAAATAAAATTATCCTTTAGACTAACATGTACATTGCAAACTTGTTTCCAATTTTCATTTATATTTTGACTTTATGCTCTCTCTCTCCTATGTACATATAAACATGTACCATATGGTATTTCAAAAATAATTATGGTACCAAATTATAAATAATCTTAGGATTCCTGAATTTGGGTCTAGCTTAAGAAGGTCTTCCCGAGTACAAAGTTTTGTTTTGTTTTTTCAAGTTTTTTTAAAATATTTATTTTTAGGTGTAGATGGACACAACACAATTCCTTTATTTTTATGTGGTGCTGAGGATCGAACCCGGGTAGGGGAGTGCTCTACCGCTGAGCCACAACCTCAGCCCTGAAGTTATCCATATAGATATACAATGGCTCAGAGCAGAAATTCTGGACCTAAACTATTTGGATTAGAAACAAGAAGAAGAAATTATAAATTCATAATTTTACAGGTATGATAATCAGAAAACATTTCCTATAAAGATGTGTAAAGTATTGATACTGCAATCAAATCTACACTCACATAACCTAACACTGCTCAAGAGCAGAAGACATAATCTTTGAAGAAAAATAAATTTTTTTATTGATAATAAAAAATAGGTTGACTGAGAACACTTTTCTTAAAATTTATACCAATAGTTTCACACAAATAGATAAGATATTATTATTTACATTAAATTATTTGCCATATTTGCTTTAAGGAAAAAAAAAAAAGTCTTCTGAGTCAGTATGAAGAGCAGTAGGGACATCTACTGGTCAAATGAGGAAACTCACCATGTCAGCCACTCTATTTATGTTCCCTCAAAAATCCAATGAAATTTATAGATTCCTTGGGACGGAAAGACAAACAAACACAAAAAAGTTTCCTATAGAAATACAAAATTTGCCTATGATATATGTAATTCATGGATCCCAGAACAAAATAATAGGGCTACATGAGCTCTAAAATAAACTTGCATGAAACAATTCATAAATTCAAGAGTTTTTAAAAGATCAAAGTCTGGCGCAATTTACTTCAATCATTGGAATATTTTTCTGAGTCTGGGTTTATAACTTAAATGTTTCCAGAATGATAAAAATCTAACAGTTTAACACAAGTAGACAGTTATTATATTACCATAAATACATTACTGTTTCTACAGTTTTTATTGACATTTAAAACCATCTTCTTAAAAAAACTAAAATAAAATAGTGTTATTTTCTATAGTTACTACTGTATATAGGTAAGGTAAAATGATTTAATTCTCCAAGTATGCATTTTATAATCACGGCATTTTCTTGCAAGGTCTACTATCACTGACCACTTTTACAGAAAATAATAGGTCAAACAAACTTAAATTCAGAGATGACTGTATTTTCAAGTAAAAATATGGCTTTCATGCTTTTAATAAATTTTAAAAATCATGAATTTCTAAATGAGATCATTGATTGACATTRCTATACTTTTATTAGATTTTTTCCTCCTTTTCAAAGTACAAGCAGTATTTTCTGGTGACAAGATCTGAAACTTATCATAGTTAAGGAAGAAGTAGGACCAGTGAAATGTTTGTCTATTTAAGTTTGCAAATGCCCAACTGCATCATTTTTTTTTCTTTTTACACAGAAAAACAATTGCACATAATTGATCATAAACTGCAGATCTTATCTAGGTAGGAAACAAAACAAAAATACCAGTACTTGTTATCAGGATACCTCTAAATAAAAATAGCTATGATCTCTGATTGTCTTTCTCCCACCAGCTTTGAAAAGCTGCGTCCTGGAATTGTTGATGCCATATTAACCAGCAGACAACTAGGAAATGACCAAGACTTTGTATTGTTGAGATATTAAAAGAAATCTATGCAGCAGAAAATAAATTTGGGGTTTTGCCATGTGCTGTTAGTGAGATTATTTTTCACACCTACACGTCAAAATTTCTCAAACTGAAAAAAACAATTCTGCAACATTTATTCAAGAAGTGCTTTTGCACTGCGTCAGAGGAACTGCTTTTAGGCACCCATACCAAAACAGTCTGCCAGCCAAATAGGGGAACCAGCGCCAAAGAGACCCCAAAGGCAGCAAGACCTTTGAACCCACAAAGGTTCGCTGTTCTGATCATCCCTAGAACTGATTTCTTAAGATCTGTTAATTAAAAGCATTAAATTTCCGAGGAATGCACCATCAAGCAAGTCTCTAAGCCAAGACATGAAGGGAGAGTAAGGCCGAAAACATTTTTTTTTTTTTTTGGCCCTGGGTGGGCGGGGGAAGATTCAAGAAGGAAGAGCGACACCSGCCAGCCAAGCGCTTCCAAGAGTCTCCGCCCACAGGCTCTAGACCCCACCCTGGAGGCGGGTCCGAAGAGGAAGACCCGCCTCTCGACCCCAGAAGGCCGGCGCGTTACTAGCGCGCGTGCGCGAGCTTACGTCACGTCCGGCGACAGGGCTCCGGATTCCGGAAGAGGCTGAAGAGTGGCGGCGGCTGTTTCTGCGTTGGCGATAAGTGTTTCTTCGTTGCCAGAGGGGTCAGATAAACGGAAGCGTCATGGTCGAGGTAAAGTGACACTTGGGCACTCAAGAGTTGTTAGTCTCTGGGCTTTTTTTCTTTGGCATTGTTCATAGGGGATGGAATGTGCTGGGAATGTGGGGCGAGAAGAGGCTGCGAGGGGAGACGTTTTGACCGAGGCCGAGTGGTCTCTTTTTAAGGTTTTCTGGGGAGGGAGGGAAGCCAAGTGAGAATCCGAGTCGCTGCTTCTGTCTGGGCGGGAAACCTGAGATAATTCATCCAGTTCTTATTTGACCCTTGGGATCCAGCACTGCCTTCTGATGATGCTTGACCACTGGTACTGCGAGTGTCAAGTGATTGTGTCCTAAAGACTAGAGATCTTCTCTATTTTAGCGTTCAATTCGTCTCTCATTTCAGCTGTACTGCAGGGGTCCTAAAGACTAGAGATCTTCTCAATTTTTGCATTCAGATTTTATGTCTCTCATTTCAGCTGTACTGCAGGAGCCTGCCATTCTTGAAATTTTACATCTTTTCCCTAGCTTGAGCTCCCATTCAGACAAACAGATCTTGTTTGTCTTATCTCAAATATTGATTCCATCCACTCGTCTCCATATCCTGCATTTACCTTAATTCAGACTAGCTTCATTTATCCTTTGCCTGGATTAATGCATTAGCTTCCAGCTCATCTCCCTTCTTCCATTTTTGTTCTCCTATAATTTGTTCTCTTTGAAATGTGAGTTGATCATGTTTTGCAGGAATTCCTTTGACTCTGTTGGTAAAACAAAAATATAGGCTGTGTAATGGTCTGAAAGACCTGAGCTGATCTGAACTTCACCTACCCTTGCAGCTTCATCTTATAGGACAACCCACCCTCTCAGCCAATGTACACAGTTGTGCAGTGTTTCTTACTTTATTTCAACTGTTGAGCACCTTTGCAGTCTGCCTTGTTTGTTCTTATGTCTATACTGTAATTTTATAATCCCTTTGTCCTTTCAGCAGGGACTCCTCCTTCTATACTTAAATATCATCTAAGAGATATCTCAATTATATTGAGTTTTTCCTGTGTTCTCTGACTTAGCCCCTTATTTGTCTTCATAGTACTTTTCAAAATGCTGAATTATTTTGCTTATTTTTATTTGTTTTCTTTTGAACACAGGGACTATTATTACCTTTTCATTGTTCTCTGGGTAACTTCTAGCACAATACCTGCTAGATATATAAGTACAAACTCAATAAATATTCATTGAATAAATTACTAATCCCAGACATGACTCAATTGCTATACTTAGGGCTCTGGCCAAAGAGGAACTTTCTCCTCTTCTCTGAACTTGACTTCTGTAGCTTGCTACAAATAGCCATGATGCACTCAATATGTATAAAACTTTTTACATATTGAAACATGTAAAATGTAAAAGTAATTTTGCTTAATTTATGATATGGGTAATTTGTTCCTAAATGTGCAATTACACTCTTTTCTTCCTAGGAAGTACAGAAACATTCTGTGCACACACTTGTGTTCAGGTCACTGAAGAGAACCCATGACATGTTTGTAGCTGATAATGGAAAACCTGTGCCTTTGGATGAAGAGAGGTAGGTATAGTTCTTTTTCAGTTTCTAAAGTATTTAAAATTCTGATATTGAAGGAAGAAAGCAAGGAGAGGAAGACCCTTAAAGGTCTTAAAATACTAATACACATAGGTTATCTATCCAATAAGAAGTGATGTTCTTGCATAATTTCAGCTGATTTAGCTTTTTTTGCCTTTTACAATAAAATCTCAAAATTAATTAATTGCATTTTACAAATATCCAGWAATTAGGAGAGCCCCTTTTAGGTATTTTATCTTATAATCAATCACTTTGTATGTGCTTTCAGCTTCCCGCTGCTCTCAGAGCCTTGCTGAGCTGAAATTGTACCTGGCCAGTACCTCTACTCCCATCTTTTCTCGTTAGTATGATGAAGATTTTTGAGTGGTGGCATATTTTTGGTTCTACATCTCCAGCTCCAGTCTGGGATTGCATTATGTGCAGTGTTCCTTCTTTGCCCTTTATCCTTCTGTTAAAATCTATTTAATTCCTCAAACAAGCATTTATATTTAACTTATAAGGTAGACTATAAAAGTAATATAAGTGCATTTCTTTTTAAAATATTGAACTCATTAAGTGCTTTGATTAGTTCTAACTAAACTCTTTAGACACATCTAGTAAAGTTTGGTACAGATGGTTTAAACTATTTTTAGATTTAGACATTAGAAATAAAGTATATTGACTTTGAGATTTTTAAAGGATATATTACTTTCTGTATATCTTTAATTATTTGGATCCTTGGGAATTAATCATGAAAGGTTTTGTCTTTATTAAGTAACTAAAATATACTCAAGTTTAATGAATGTTGATGTGATACAAAAAATAAATTTATATGGTGTGGAAATGCACTTGAAAATTTTTGACTCTACTATTTAACTTTAAAATCTAATTAGAAACTTTTTCTACATGATTACACAAGCCTAAGCTATTTAAGTACTTATTTACTAGCTTTTCATAAACACATTGGTGAAATATTTAAAGTATTTAAGGATATATTTTATGTTTATAATTTTTAAATAGTCACAAACGAAAAATGGCAATCAAGCTCCGTAATGAGTACGGTCCTGTGTTGCATATGCCTACTTCAAAAGAAAATCTTAAAGAGAAAGGCCCTCAGAATGCAACGGATTCATACGGTCATAAACAATATCCTGCCAATCAAGGTARGTATAGTATAAATCAGAAATGACAGGACTTATGTGAATTTTTTAAATATAAAAACAAATGTCTTATTAGTGCTCCTTCTGAAAGCATTTATTATGGTCACACAGTATTATACCAGTATTAAGATGGAAGTTTTGACTTGCCCACGAGAGTAGTAGCTTAGATTATTGATTGATGACTTTTTTTYCTAATGGGAAATAAAAGCATATAATGATGGCAGAAATTTGTTGGATGTGCAGAAGGTCACAATGGAGACTAATGGAGAAAATTGAAGAATATTTCTAACCTGTAGGAAGATCATTTATCTTAGCYATAATTCAGAAAGATGAAATTAAGTATTGAAGTTGTAATGAACAAAGAGGATCTAAGATTMTACATAAATTAAAATTAGAGAGCTGGGAATATAGCTCATTTGGTAGAGTGCTTGCCATGCATGCACAAGGCCCTGGGTTCAATCCCCATAACCACAAAAACAAACAAATGMAAAACAGAAACACCATTGCTGTTTAGCAAATGCATGAGCTTTCTTGATCTCTTACCAGCTAATGGACAAGGAAATAACCAAGTATATGATTTATTGAGGTCAAAACAAAACTGATGAACTTTCCTTATTTTTGAGACTTAACTTTAGTTGGGGGAGGAAAAATCCAGTTAGTAACTTAATATTATTGATATATTGTAAAAGATCATACTTGAATGTAAGATAGATTCACTATCAATACATTTATTTTCTTTTTTGTTGTTTTTTTTCTTTTTTAGGACAAGAAGTTGAGTATTTGGTTACAGGTACACATCCATATCCACCAGGACCTGGTAAGTAAACTTTTATGTATTGGAAATAATCTTATTTTATTGCTACAATTTTTAGGCACCATGCTAGAATTTCAAAGGCAGTAAGACTGCTCTAGTTCTAGACCTAAGTTTTTTACCTGAGTGATTTAGACAGACATGCAACTATGTAAACATTAAAAATGATAAACGTATTGGTACAGAAGTAGGTATGATTAAAAATTGCAGTGTGCGTGTTTGTAGGTGTGTAGATGGGTTGGCACATAGATGATATGAACAGGGTGGAGGACAGACAAGGCGTGGTATGTATAGAATGGAAAGTGCGGGGGGATTGGGTGCATCTTACAGTAACTTTCATTTTTAAAAACATTAGTATTTGAGTAGCTGCTTAATYTTTTTGCTTTTGAAAGTAATATCTGAATTTTAATAATTTACGAAATTGGGCTATTTTAATACCAAGCTACTTAAATTAGATCAAATTTAGAAACAAAGAAAGCAAGGCTTAATCAAAATTGTTGTAATATCACTGCCTGGAGATCATCAACTAGTGTCTTTTTCTCTAACAATTTATTTTAAATATATATAAATGAGAACAAAAATAACTACTAAGAAGAACTGATTTTATTTTTAATAGGAGTTGCTTTGACAGCGGATACTAAGGTCCAAAGAATGCCCAGCGAATCAGCTGCACAGTCCTTGGCAGTGGCATTACCTTCTTCCCAGGCCAGGTATCAGATGTTATGCTTATAATTACAAAGATTAAAAATATATTTCACCATTTACATTTTTTCAGAGTTGTTTATAACTGTGTATTTTATTTTGGCACTATTCACAAAAATTTAAACTGACCATGTGACTGAGGCATTAATTACCTTTATAATATTTCTTTTGCCTCAAGTCGTGTGACTGAGGTATTAATTACTTTCATAATATTTCTTTTGCCTCAGAGTTGAGGGAAATCGTACTGCGCCTGGTGGAACTGAATATCGACATCCTGGGGCTTCTGACCGTTCACAACCTACAGTGATGAATTCAGTAAGATTCTCTGTCATATAGCAAAACAGGTTTCTAGCTTTTGGAATGTTACCTTGTTACCCTTATTCCAAAARTTTTCCTTTAACTATTAGAGAAATTAACACTTTCTTGGAATTTGTTCCTATAAATAGTAGCTTGAGATAGTCATTAAAATTTCTTTGCCCTAAAACTTTGGGTTTTAGTAAATTAACATATGTTTTAGAATTTGAAATCCTGTTACATCCATATCTACTTGCACATTTGCACATAATACGTATTTTGATTAAGACAATGTGATTTTGGTATTTACTATGCACTATTAAAAATACAGGAAGTATTATCCTGAAATTTGTGTTACTATGTGCTAATTATGAAAGTCTTCTTTCAATTGAACTTTAAATTGGTGTGTGCTTAAAGCTGAGTGCTAACAGTGTGGTAATATTCTTGGGCTCTACAACTAGCATTTTATAAATGAGTGTGTAGAAATTGGTTTATTTGTAAGTAAACAACAATTGCTCTTAGTGAAAATAGTTGTAGAAAAAAAAATAACAGAAAATGTGAAGCTATTTTATTATGTGTCTTGACGTAAGTATGGGCTTTACAACTATATTATATTTTTGTTATTGTTTTTTTTTTCAGTGTAGGAATAGAACTCATCAGTTTTTTTATGGATTCTGTTTCAYATGAAGTGAATGAATTTGTGATGCTCACACCACTTGTTTTCTTCATTCTCATTTAGAGCAGTCTTTGTGTTCAAGCTCTCTGCATCTTTGGGAGGATATAATTTAAACTTCTTCAGGGCAGAATTTTATGTTCTTTTTTTTTTTTTTTTAATTAATGTACACTAACAATAGATGGTAGAGGTTGAGTTGCCCTTATTCAAAGTGTTTCAAACTAGAATGTTTCAGATTTCAAACTTTGGATTGGAAATATTTGTGTAGCCTTTACCTATTGAGATCCCTAATCTAAAATTTTGAAATCTAAATTCAGTTTCGATTTCAGAGTATTTTGAATTTATGGATTAAGGATGCTCAATCTGTATCAGCAGTTTACCTTTAAAATAGTATTTAAGTGCTTGTATTTAAAGATGAATAGAAACCCATGATAAAAGCATTTTGCTGTTCATTTTTCAGCATGGGCACATATAAGTTAAAGAATTTTTACATAAGGTCAGTCAGCTAGAAAATGGCATAGCTGAGTTTTGAACCCAGAGTGATGTCTGCTCTTAACTAATACTCTGCCTCTCTGAGGTTTTTTTACTTGCTTTTAAAAATGAACATACAGAAAATAAAGTTCTGAAGTAAGAGTTTTAGACTGACTTTTCAGTTGAATATGTTAGGTGTTTTTCTCTCATTTAAGGGGAAAAWTTTTCATAAATCCCCTTTTAGTCCATCTTTTAATTAAAAACCAAACTTTAAATATGACTTCTTTATTGATAACGTAATCTGTTCCATATTTAGATGGTTATGGAAACTGGCAATACTAAGAACTCTGCGCTGATGGCCAAAAAAGCACCTACAATGCCAAAACCCCAGTGGCACCCACCATGGAAACTCTATAGGGTGAGCAAATCTAGATTTTATTCCACTATGTACAATATCATTGCTTTCCATTTGATGAGAGCTGAAGAATAGAAAAAGGAAAAGGAATGAATATGAAAATAGTAGAGTGATCTGCRGTGGGATGAGAAGGGGCTTTTGCACTGTTAAAAGATATCTTGAGATTTCCTTGGGTAAAAGGTATACTAGTATTTTTTGTAAAGTGCAGTATAAAATATTGACAGAAGGCTACTAAATGCGTAGGGCAGGCAAAATAAATACAGGAAAATATTTGAAGTATTTAACATGAAGGCTGAGGAATAAACACCTTATTAGTGAGTTTTTGCACCAATTATTCTTTCAACTGCAATAAATTAAAATAACTCAGAATGTACCAGATATAAAGTAAAATTTATATAATAGGAAATGTACAGCCAACATGATCTTATTTTTCAAATGATCACATTGTAAGAGACTTTTTTCTTTCGGTCTACTGAATTTTAACTGATATATAGGTTTGGGTAACCACTGCCATAATCTGCATCAGCTCCAAACACCACTGTGTTGTTCTTTTCGTCATACCCTCCTCCACACCTGGCAATCACTGATATGTTTTCTATCACTGTACTTGTGTCTTTTTTACAGTGTCAGAATGGAATCATACATTATGTACTCTTTGAGACTGTCTTTCTTTCTTCATTCTTTGCCTTTGAGATTCAGCCAAGTTATTGTGTGTGTTAGTAAAGCATTCCTTTTTTTTTTTTTTTTTGAAGACTATTATTCCTTTGTATAGATGTACCGCAATTGTGTACCCATTCACCTATTGAAGATAAGTTAATGTTGCTCACTCTAAAATATATTGTCAGATAATCTTGTAAACATATAAAGATGCTGCAGTTCAAACCCAGGTTGTGGTTAAAATTGAATACATTTTGACTAATGTGTCGATGATTCTGCCTATTTTACTTTTTCTTATTCAGGTTATCAGTGGGCATCTTGGTTGGGTTCGATGTATTGCTGTGGAACCTGGAAATCAGTGGTTTGTTACTGGATCTGCTGATAGAACTATAAAGGTAATAAGAAAGAAAAGATAAACAGGACTTTGTGTTTGTTGCAAAAGTTTAAACTATTTAAAATTATTTCCTATGGCAAGGAATTGTATTGCAAGCCTTCATTTCTTGGACTTTAGCATGTAGTCTGTAATAGTAATAGTTTGAAATAAATATCTATTTGAAAAGAGACATTTAAGCAATAGGGGTTTTATCCTAATCATAATAACCTAATTCCTTAATACTTTTAAGATTTTTCCCCTGGTTACAAAATTAAACCAGGCTAATTTATAGAACATGTGGAAAATTTAGAGAACTGTGAAAGAACCACACATAATCCTACAAATATCAGATATTTAGACAAATTTAACTTTAAAAAGCATTTATTTCTGTGTTTATATTCATCAGTACATTTACTTCTGAACTTTTTTCAGGGTGTTAAGGTATAAATATGTCTCTTTTTAAAAATACTTATAACTTTGTATCTATTTTCATTTAACATTATATCAAAGCCATATTATAAAAAGTCTATCTTTTTAAATGGTTACATAATATATAATTTTGATATTCTACAGTCTGTTTTCCTATTGTTGGACATTAAAATTTTTTATTTTGATGATTTTTATTATTAAAAGTGATGCTGTATGGGTTTGGGGTTGTGGTTCAGCAGGAGAGCGCTCACCTGGCATGTGTGAGGCCCTGGGTTCGATCCTCAGCACCACATAAAAATAAGTAAATAAAGGTATTGTGTTCAACTACAACTGAAAAATAAATAAATATATATATTTTTTAAAGTGATGCTGTAGTTAGCCTTTATGCATACATGTTTTTCTGTATTTTATTTTGTTATGGTACATTCCCAGAAATAGGAATGTCAACTATTTTTGAGGATACCCAAAGTATAAATTACTTCCCAAATGACTTGCAGCGTTTTCAGAGAATCCATTCCAGTCCATCAATTTTGTATTCCTTTATCTAATAACATAAGTAAAAAATGGGTATCTAATCTTTTTTTAAGTAGTTCATACAAAATTTCTATACAAATTTTCATTTATTTGTGTTCAGTTTTTCATTTTCAGTTGTCCTTTGCCAACCTAATACCATGTTATTCATATTTTTATTATCAATGATATATTTTACATATTGTTTAGAATATTAGCCTTTACCTCTATTGCAAACATTTCTCTAGTTTGACAGTTTGAACATGCCTTTTACATTTTCTTTTATTTAGAAAGGATCATTTTTCAAATTTTTAATTTTTATGTATATGTGTGTATATATTTGGGGACTTAACATTAGGATTCAAAATATTTGCTTTGGGGTAACCAACAAAATGAAAAAATATTCTTTGATTGCAGATCTGGGACCTGGCCAGTGGCAAGTTAAAACTCTCGTTGACCGGGCATATCAGTACAGTTCGAGGTGTGATAGTAAGCACAAGGAGCCCATACCTGTTTTCTTGTGGAGAAGACAAACAAGTAAAATGCTGGGATCTTGAATATAATAAGGTACTCTTAGAGTTAAGTATTGAAAATACTATGAGCTACTGTTTATTTTTCTAATTTTAGAAAATTCAACTTTATTGCCTTATCTTTTAGGTTATAAGGCATTATCATGGACATCTAAGTGCAGTATATGGTTTGGATTTGCATCCAACAATCGATGTGCTGGTAACCTGTAGTCGAGATTCAACTGCTCGGGTAAATGACATAAATCTGTGTGTTTGTAAACGTATTGCATCTTGTCATATACATATTTGATGTCAGTCTTATATTATTTGATAGAGCATTAAAAATAATTGCTTGATTTGTCATACCCTAGTCCCTCCTTTTCTTGACTTGTGTTTTTTTTTTACCACCTTAGGCTTCAGTTCTTTGGCCTTGCATTCTCGTTTTCCAATTTGTCACAACTGTTGTCCATTATCTTTTTTATTCATTAGTTCATTATGCCCATTAATCTTTCAGTACCCTTATCTTTCAGCTTTTTATTTTCCCTTTGCAGCTGTTTTCTAGTTATATTCCCYACCTAGCTTATAAATCATTATCCTTCTTGTAAGCATTTTCTTTATGATATTGAGGCACAGTTATCTAGTAAATTCCCAGCCTCGAATTGATCCGGTTATCTGCCTGAGATATGAATAACTGTTCTTTTTAATAGTATATCTATTACATTTTTATAGATTTGGGATGTGAGAACTAAAGCCAGTGTACACACATTATCTGGACATACAAATGCAGTTGCTACAGTGAGGTGTCAAGCTGCAGAACCACAAATTATTACTGGTATGTAAGATACTTTTCATATTTATAGTCTGTTCATATCAAATATGTTATAATTGTACATATACTTCTCATTCATTGTGATTCTTTTTATTGTGTTTGTGATATTTTTGTATTGTATATTTTAATCATAGGAATTTGAAATTTCTTTAAGACTTCTTCTAGTTGTTTTTTACTTCATACTTTTTACATATTATAGGATATTTCATACACAGAATTTTATAACATCCAACTAGAAAACTTTTTAGTGTTATTTTATAGTGCCAAAATTATTAGTCTAAGAAGTTAAAGTTAGAAGACAAAAATACTCTTGAGATCAATAACCTTTAGAACTGATGTGAACCTTGTATTTGTTAACARTGGATCATTAAAACTAGAAAATAATTCCTTCACCTAACATTTTATTAACTAAGTATTTGTTGTATTTGTTATTTGTATTTGCYGTAGCTTTCAGTTGATAGCAAATCAAGAATTGTATTGCATTTTAAAAGAATTAACATTTAAAATCAACCTTGAGTTCTGAAACTATGATGAAATTAGCCAAGAGATGATAAGACTTTCATTTAATATGTATATATTTGTGGAAGAATGCTTCATATGTTGTCATATATCACTTTTGCTTCTTTTTCTTGGTCTATGTTTTGGGTTTGTGTGTATTTCCATTACAGGAAGCCATGACACTACAATACGATTATGGGATCTGGTGGCTGGAAAGACAAGAGTGACATTAACAAATCATAAGAAATCAGTCAGGGCTGTGGTTTTACATCCACGACAGTAAGTGTATTTTTTTTTCATTATCTTCTCTTCCATCTTTATGCCTTAGTATAGTACTGAAATAACAACTTGAGCACTGCTTTTGGCAGTCATGTAGCCACTGTCACCGTCAGTCCTGTTTCACTTGTGGACATGCATTTCATCAGTTTTTCTTATGTTAATTATTTTGCTTTATGCCCTAAATAAGATGAGGAAAGCCTTTTATACAGTCATAAATACTATCAAGTTAGACAATATAAGTATATCATGGACAAAAGGTGCATATCAAAATAGAAAGTAACATTGGCTGGGCGTGCTTTGCACATAAATGATATTAGACTTGAGAAACACATAGAATGATTTAATTCTTAAGAAGTTCAAGAAAGTGAGAACCATGAACATTATAGTCAAGATATCCACAGAAATGGCGAAGAATATCACATCCTAGTGTTCGTCATATCAGATCACTCCTGACATTCTTCTGTTTGTATTTATATTTTTTCTTTTCCCTTTCTTTTCTAACTCTTCCTTTCTCCTGTCCTTCCCTTTTTCTTCCCTTTCCCTGTTTTCACTCCTTTTCATCCTGTCCTTCACTTCTTTTCTCCTCTTCCCTCACTATTTCTTTCTCTCCCTTTCTCCAAAATTGTTGCTCACTCTTTTGCCTTTTTTGTGAAATTAGATATTTGCATATTTATTACTCTTGATGTATAGCTTCAGGAAAATGAAAGAATAAAACATAAAATTTGAAAAATTCATTTAACTTGAAACAAGTACCTTGATATTTTTGCATGTTGATATGACACTAATATTTTGCTAAAATTGAGCTGGGTGCATGGTGGCACACGCCTGTAGTCCCAGCTACTCAGGAGGCTGAAGAAGTGGGAGGACTGAGGCAACCCAGTTGAAACACTGTCTGAAAAAATAAAAAGGGCAGAGGATATAGTTCAGTGGTAAAACCACACATCCTGGGTTCAATCTCCAGAACAAAAAAGAGTGCTAAAACTACAGATATCAGCGAATGTGCATGGGAAATTAACTAAGCTTTTTAAAACCCACCATTTTGTTTAGCTTGATTTACATTGCCATTAATTCGTTTTGCTTTTATTTCAGTTACACGTTTGCATCTGGTTCTCCAGATAACATAAAGCAGTGGAAATTCCCTGATGGAAGTTTTATTCAAAATCTTTCTGGTCATAATGCTATTATTAACACATTGACAGTAAATTCTGATGGAGTGCTTGTATCTGGAGGTAACATAAGATTTTTATAATAAATGTGTTTAGTTCATTGTTTTATTTTTTAGTCATTGAATGAACATTTCTAAGGCATCAGAGATAAATATTATAGCAGAACTTGCCTGAAGAGGGTATATTTGGATGTGTACGTGTTTGTGCCTATTCAGAATATATGTAGTATATTTCACAGTTAAGCTCACAATTAAGTTCCCCTGTGATAAATCTAAGTTAGAGACAGGTTTATGATGAGAATTGCATAATATTTGGTTGAGTGTCTGGAATTGACTGTCAAATTTTGTGGTGCTTTTTAAGATCTATGATAAAATTAAAAATAGATGAAATTAGACAAAGCAATATGAAGAGAAGTTTAGGTTAATTGTTGGTCAAGGGATACCAAATRTAACTAACTAGATCTTTTCCTTTAAGCTGACAATGGCACTATGCATCTTTGGGATTGGAGAACTGGCTACAATTTTCAGAGAGTTCATGCAGCTGTGCAGCCTGGGTCTTTGGACAGTGAATCAGGAATATTTGCTTGTGCTTTTGATCAGTCTGAAAGTCGATTATTAACAGCTGAAGCTGATAAAACCATTAAAGTGTACAGAGAGGATGATACGGCAGTAAGTTCATTGTTTTACATACATTTAAAGTAAAATAACAACTATACCAATTTAGCAAGGGTCTTGATTATGGTATTAAGGTATTTGTCATCTTGAATAGTGTCTGCTCCTAGATTTCTGTATCATTTTCATTGATTTAAATGAATCTATCACTACATTTTTTAAAAATTTTTTTTAGTTGGTGATGGACTTTTATTTTATTCATTTATTTATATGCAGTGCTGAGAATTGAACCCAGTGCTTCACACATGTGAGGCATGCGCTCTACAACTGAGCCACAACCCCAACCCTGAATATATTACTTTACTTTTATACCAACTTTCATTTTTATAGTTACTGGGAAAATGGTACACTAATAATAACAAATACTAAATTGTGTGCAAATTTATTCTAGAATCACAAACTTCATGCTACTATAGCTAAATGAAAATTTTATTTTGGATGAGAAACTACAAATTTATCTTTAATGAATCTATTCACTTTTTGTTACACTTGGATAATGCCTAAAGTTTGTTAGCTATTCCTAAAACCATTATTAACCTGCTAAATATGTATAGTGAAAATAATATGACTTGGAATAAATACATTATTTTTGTTAAAAAGGAATTCTGTTAAACATGAATTCAGCTAATAGCACTTTAATTTATTTTTTACTTTTAGACAGAAGAAACTCATCCAGTCAGCTGGAAACCAGAAATTATCAAGCGAAAGAGATTTTAATGTGGCATTGTCTTCATGGTGKTTTTTTTTTTTTTTTTTTTAAGCTTGGCATTGATGAGGATGTCGGTTATTTTGTGTTCTTGCGGGAATGTAAAGCAGAAACTCATTTACTGGAATCATTGCTGCTTAATATTTTACAATAAACTGTCCCCTATGCCCCCCCCCCCGTGTTTTTATTTGTAAAATAAACATTTTGTGATCCTAGAAAGTAAGATGCAAATATCAAGCACATGGAGGTTTATTAGACATGACTATTCTAAAGACAAAATTCTTGATAGTTTTATTAAAAAGCCTCTTTTAAAAATTGTCTATTATAACAACRCATTTTGAGGGGAGCAGGTGGTTTTTACAATCCTTTAAAAACTGATAATTTGGGATTTAAAAGTTTTAGTCTTAATTTATATATGTTCATTTCAAAAGCAGTTTTTGAGTTTGTTCTTTAGAATTCAGCAGTAAATACTGTTCAGGAAAAGATAAGATTTATCTGTCTCCAAAACTTCCAGTTTTGCTAGCTTACAGAAATGCTGTAATACAGGTATAGGTGTAATGCTAGAGGAACACTGAGGAAAAAGCTATTCATCATTCATCTTTCCCAKAGAGGGCTGGGGAAGACTTCATTGAGGAAGGACCATTTGAACTGACCTTGAAGTCAAGGAGGGCAAAGGAAACAGTGTTCTAAGCTGAGGCATTAACTGGATGAAACCAGATGCRGGAACCTGAGTGGTGTACTCTAGGACAGAATTGTCTGTCACAGTTGACTAATGGGATACAAAGCTGGTTCATGTTAGGAAAAGCTCATGGTCTGAGTTTGGATTCTATTCCACAAGCAGTAGGATACCAATATTGTAATAGAAACTTAGGGAAATAACTATGGAGATACCACTGAAGATACTTAAAGCAGTAGCAAGGGGTACAATCTTCTGGAGATTGTATAGGAAGGTGTTTAAAATTTCTAATTCTTATATCTCCTGGTAAATAACAAATTTTATAAATCCTGCCCTTGAGGTCCTGATTCCCCATCAGTCAAGATTTGTCCCACTTCACCTATAGTCAGAAGATTGTTATAAGAACAATCAATTTAAAAATTTTCCCAAGTTAAAAAATTGTACCATGAGTTCAAACATTTCCAGACTTTACGTATCCCATCTTGCATGCTGTAGGTGGGAGTATAATTGTAACAATCTTTAGAAGTGTAGTTTTTTGTGTTTATTGAGAATATTTGAATCATTGGCCCAGTAACTTCATTTCTAGGAAACGGCCTAATAGGAGTAACCTGACAAGTGTACACAAGGAAGTTCATTGCACCTTTGTTCTTTAATATTAAAACTAACCCAAATGCCCTATCATTAAGGAGCTAGTTTAATAGATATGATCCTCCAACTTATTTCTTTGTATTCATGAAGAGAGTGAGGAACATCTTGACTTACTAGGGCAAGATGTCCAAAGTTTGCTCATGTAAAAGGAAGTTGTATATGCATTYTTGTAAAATAATGAACACTAAAAAATAATGGGAAAGTAGCGCCAGGTTGTTAACAGTGGCTTTGTGAAGGAGTAGAATTGGGAAATTTTCATGGTCTGCTTTATATATTTCTATAATGTTTTACTTTTCTATAAGCATGTATTTTGTAAACTTAAATAAAGGGAAAAAAAATAAACTAGTATCCYGGAGAGATTCTAATATGCTTTCTAAAAGAAGAAAGATATTGCTAGTACAAGAAAGTAAGATAGCCCATACTAATTTGCTTAGCAAGGTTTCAGCCTCTGTGTTTTAAGTTAGGAACCATTAGCAGTTTTAATGAGCATTGAAATCTAAAGAATTTATGCTATCCTTTATGTGTTGCAAAAGGTGTTGTAAAAAGTTTGCTTACCATATGAAACTCAAAATTTAAAGTCAGAATTTCATGTATATGTCCCTCTCAACCTGCTTGGTACAACTTCAACCAGAAGTTTAACCCAAATCTCCTACACTGCCTATGTCATATCTATACCTAAGCTACAAATATTACCTGAGTAAAACAGCTGTGCTAGCTGGATTCATTAGTGATCTATGACCACATGCCTCAAGGAGGCCATCAGTGATGACCAAATAATACATTTCCATTTTAAAAGCTTTCTGCCTCCTATTAAAAAGATGAGACATCAGCCTACTCTTGCCATGTATGTGTGCCTACTCAAGGACTTTGCCCCCATGATTAACCATTCTCTTGCACCATTTAATTTCCTCTGTATCAAATGATCTTTATCAGCATAAAAATATAGTGACAGTCTTCAAGAAAAAAATAACTATTGTTCTTATGTGCCTGTTTCTCTTAACTTATAGACAAACTGCTTCACTTTTTATAGACAAAGTTTAACTCATCTCGTAATTCCTCAGTTTTCCATTTACTTCTAGTACAGAAATAACAAAAATAATTTGTTCAACATATAAGGAAAATAAGTTGGTAGAAAATAAGGAAAAACAGAATTAGTAAATAAACAGATTATTTTAGGTGAAACCTTATATAAAACTAAATAGAGGGCTGGGGTTGTGGCTCAGTGGTAGAGTGCTTCCCTAGCATGKATGAGGCACTGGGTTCGATTCTCAGCACTGCATATAAATAAATGAATAAAGGTCCATCATCATCTAAAACATTAAAAAAAACCCAAATAGAAGCATAAGTACATAGAAGAATTTAATTAATGGAGACAAGTGTGTCCAATTCTATGTCATTATATTTGAAGAGCCTAATACAGTGGTGAGACTTAAAATATTCAATGATTTATTTGAAAAGATAAAACCTAAACAAATTAWTTGCCATAGAAGAAATAAAGTTGTRTTTCTACCACCACCACCACTRTCTACATACACCAATAAGTCCAAAAATCTTCAAAATCAAATTCTAATTCAGTGCACTTCAAATTTTTCTAGGACCTAGATAACAAAATTTTTAATATGCTTTCAGATGTTAGTATAACAAAAACCCAGTTAAGCACAAATAAAATTATGGTTTAATCTTGCTTATGAGTATCAGTGCTAAAAATCATTAGTAAAGTCTAATAACAGAAAAAGCACATGCCAAAGTGGACTTTATACTAAGAATGCAAGAATGGGTCACTGCTGGAAAAGATACTCCATTGACTTACCTAAAACAAAAAATATGAGCATCTTCATAGATGCTAAAGGAAGCATTTTGCTAGATTCTAAAATCCATTCTTAGTTAAGGAAATTAGAGTTTGGATCTGGAATGTCTCCGAAAGGCTCCTGTTAAGAGAATGCACATTCATAGCTTAATATGTTACTTGGATTCTTATATATTAATGAGATCTTTAAGGGTTAGAGATTTAGGAGGTTTTACAGGAGAGAAAAATCACTTATTTAAGAATATCTGTCTATATATTCAACAATTTTTTGTGAGTTCATACATACCTGATAGGTGTTAAGTATGTAAGACCTAGTCTCTACACCCATAAAATTGTAATGCGTAGTCTGTGCTCCCATAACTGCCTTGTAATCAGGGATTAAAACATTAAATATTTACTTCAGGATTAAATAAGAATATAAGGATTTCTTTCCACTCCAGCATAAAATTTAGTCTTAGATGGATGCTATAGTCTAAATATGCTTCAGGAGAGGGAGGATCGCATGTTCTACAAAGGTGATCTTTGTGAAGGAGAGCAGTCTTGGCTGTATTTGAAGGATGGGGAACATTCAAGCAGACAGAGCWGAAGAGAAGAGTGAGTACAGAACCTGGTGAGTGAGATGACCCTGGCTCTGAATTAAAATTGGGTGTCTGTTAGCTCAGTTACTCCTGACTCTGAGAGATGACAAGGGGTCTGACTTTTTAATAGAATAGGACTGACAACAGAGGCTGGGGAATGGAGGCTGGAAAATGCTGGGAAGTCCAAGGTCACAGATGCCTCAGAGACCCAGGAGCTGTCCCTTGTAATCTAGATACTCTTTATAGACACATACTTTCTCAAATTGATGGCCATTCTTAATAGTCTTTTGGGACCCACAYCATAACCACTGTGTTGTTTGAACCTGGAATGTCCCTCAAAGGCCCATGTGTATTCCCACTATGATGTGCCACCATAAGTCCAAAGCACAGGAGCCAATCTATCATGGACTGGAATCTCCAAAACTGTGAGGCAAAATAGAGCTTTTCAATTCAAAAATTGATTATTTCAGATATTTTGTCATAGCAATGGAAAGCTGACTTAACACAATCACATACAATGGTCAAAAACTAGAATATTAGGCTGGATGTAGTGGCACACGCTTATAATCCCATTGGCTGGGGAGGCTGAGGCAGGAAAACTGAGTTCAAAGTCAGCCTCAGCAACTTAGTGAGACCCTTTCTCAAAATTAAAAATATTAAAATGGCTGGGGATGTGGCTCAGTGGTTAACCCCTYCTGGGTTCAATCCCTGGTACAAAAACAAATTAAAAAAAATGGAATATCAGCATGTCAGTGAAATCTGGAGACCTATACAGAAAAGAATCAAGAGACATGGTTTAACATTACCTGGCTATAAAGAAGTATGACTTAGGTTTAATATGATTCTTTTTAATAATGCAAGAGTATTTAAATGTCAAACATTTAATGTTATGATTCAGGTATACAAGATCATTATACCCATACTACTACATACAGAAATATCATTTGATYAAATTCAAGGAAAATATCAAGCTAGAGTCCTAAGAAATACTAAAGAGTTGTTTATTTGAAAGGAATATTAAATCAGAGTAGAATATGGAGGCTTAGAGAATAATTAGAGTGAGGAATACTAAAGAGTCRTCTGCAGTCATATTTTAAAATTCAGGATGGCTCTGAAAGTTTGAATTAACAGGATCAGAAAAAKAAGAAGAAATAAGTCAAATTATAATGATTTGTAGTTAAGACACATAAAGCAAGAGAAAAACTGTTAAAACAGAGGACTGTAAGATGATTCCATACAAGATAAATATGGTACCTGGAGATTAATACATTTCCTTGATAACARCAATGAACAGTTCCATATTGTTTAGAAAAATAACCTTTATGCTATGAACAAAACCTAGAAAATATTCAGAAAAACTAACAGGAAAGGCAGAATTTCTATGCAGAAGAGCAAAAAATTATAAAATTAATATATTTTTAAAAGTCTTAATTAATGAAATGACATTACATAAACATGTAGGGAAATTTTATGTTTTAAGTGTGCTGTTTCTATAAGAATTAAAATATAAATTTAATAAATTCCAATTAGGCTTTTCCAGTGAGTTTTGCTTAAAGAATTTTAAAGGTTAACGCTAAAGATTATGTGACCCCCTCCCCAAAGATACCAATGTGTTTAGGAAATCTTTGAAAAAGCAGTCCCATGAGAGATGGAGGTATGTGTTCTACAGGCAAATGAATGGGTCATAAAAGCACATGAATGGGTCAGAATTGCTTAGTAATGCAGGAAAGAAAATTAAGATTAAAAAAAAAAAACCAGAATAGACAGCCCAGCATCTGGCTTGGGTATATATGGGAAATCTAGTATCTGCTCTGATAGAAGAACAAAAACCACACCAGTATTTTATCAAAATGAAAAAGTTGTGTACTTGTCTAAATGCAAAATTAATTTCCCCTTGTTTAAGCTTAAAATTTGTTCTCATAAATACTATGACATTGAAGGGTATATAGGAAATTAGACATTGATCTCTTTTATGAAAGGGGGTGAGGCTTCTTGCTAAGTTATAGAGTACTTTTTAGAATGTACATCTTTCAGTATACAAAGAATTTGTTTATGAGTCGAGGATTAGTTAATATATATTTTTTCAATATAAATAATGTGTGTCTGTTGAATATAGTAGACATCCATATTGACATAGAAAGATAGCTGAAGAATTTTGGGTGAAGTYTGCAGAACAGAATATACAGTATGATCTTCTTAAAGATACAAATTACTCTAATTCTAGAAGGATATAACAGGGGAATAGGGTAATTCTTTTACTTTCTACTTCAAAAACTAGTAACTTTTACTTTCAATTGCCAACAATCAAAAGAGAAACTATTAACCAGCTAGTCACATCCGTTAGTCATTCCGTCACTCATACATCACCATTTCACATCTAGGCATATTTAGGGAGGGAAGAAATAGTCTTTATGCATWACTGCCAAAAACCACCAACAACTTATCATTCATTCAAGAAAAATTAGTTCACTAGTAAATTGTGGTGCACGAAAACCATGGCACAGGGAATACTTAGTGCCATTAAGTGGAAGAAATGAAGTAAATTTGAACACACTAATGTGAAACAATAGTCAAAGAAAAAATTTTAGGAATGTTAAAAATATAGACAGACTTCCTTAAAGGTGCTTGATAGCATATTTGCATCTATTTTGCTACTTCCTAAAACCTCATAATATTTTCATATTATAATTCTATAAGGACTATGAAATTGTTTCTTTGTACYAAGTGAAAAACAACAAGGACAAAAAGAAACAAAGAAAACAAAAAACAATTTTTGGAAATGAGAAGGTATATGGAAATAAAAAGACACAAGATAACCAACTTAACATACTGGAGAAAACTGAATCCTAAATTGACAATAAGGAGAGCCCCCAAAGCAATTCACTTTATGCAGCAGAATCCCCAAAGATTTAGAAAGGGGCTGCACCCCRCTGGAAGG